AAGTGGTGGGAAAGGGTGGTGTTGCTCTCTAGTGAGTAAAATAGGAAAAGAGCAACTTTGAGTAACGTTTTTCAAATACCAATATTTGAAAGAAAGCATCTTTTAATAGTAAAGAATGAGATGAACCTGTGGAAGACAGTCCAGCATTTCCTCAAAAGGTTAACGGAGTTACCATGGGACCAGCAGGCCCACTGCTAGGCCTGTACCCAAGAGAGTTGACAACATAGGTCTAAACAAGGGCTTGCACGCCAACAGCAGGACAGCCCAGATGACAGTCATATAGAAAGGGCACAGACAGGCCATGGTGCATCACTCAGCCCTGAAAACATGATGCTGAGGGAGAGAAGCCAGACAGAAAAGCCCACCCGTATGATTCGATGTGGGTAGAACATCAGACGGGCAGGCAGTTTGGTGATCAATGGGCACCCTAGGCGGGGTGAGGAGTGGCAGGGGCATGACTACCAGTGGGAATGGCGTTTCTTTCTGAGGTGATTGAAAGTGTTCTGAGTTAGAGACGTGATGGTTGCACAACTCTGTTAATATACAAGTGACTAGTGACTTACACAGTTCGAAAGTGTGAGCTCTGGTACGTGAGTTACCTCTCAAAGCTGCTAAGAAAGAAGTGGATGAGGTAAGAGAAGGCAGCTTTGGTGTTTTCTGAGGGGAACTAGCAGATTTAGGGATGAACAGACTTGATTCTCAACATGTCTCTTTCCTGGGAAAGCTCATTTGGTCGTGTTCCCTCTTTCAGAGAGACCTCAGTCATTGATCCTCTACCCGTTACACACAGTTAGACTCTTGTCTCTGCCTCCCTGAGGAATGAAAGGGTGGAGGGGGAGAGGGGGATCAGGAACAAGACCTGGAAGGGTCCACACGAGTGTGAAGATGGAGCAAGAGGAGAGAAGACCACCTCTCTGGGGCCGAGGCGCTAAGTACAGCTAGCCCTGCTCCTCTGTCTGCCAGCATTCCTAGCCCAATTGGGTTTTGGGCACGGAGACTAATCTTCAAAGAAGAAGCATCTTCCCACTCCATGCTCCCTAGGTTTGCTCCTCTGAGTCTTGGCCTGAACATCACTCGTGAGTCCCCCACCTCAGTTAGAACTGCCTCCAAGCCCCATCCTGTTACCTTGCCCACCCTCCTGTCTGCAGTGACCACACCCATTTCTCACGTCTCATATTCCTATCTGTGTTCCCTGGTGGCATGTCAGCCCACAAGGATGCGGTCTGTGTAGCCTGGTCAACCCAGGTACCTGGCACGGTGCCTGCCAAGAGCGGGTGCTGGTGTGGTTTTGTCAGGAGTGTTGCTTGTTGAAATGCCATCATGTATTTTGGGGCTGCTTCTCCATTGAGTCCGGCTCAGCCCCCACAGGGTTCACAGGTGGAGGTGGCGGCCACATAGCCCCAGTCCACCCCAGTGTGTTTGCCGTGACAGGGCTGAGGGACGTTCACTCCTAAATGGCCAGCTGCCCAGGGCAGCCAAGCCCAGACCCCTCTACCCACCAGGCACTAGGGAATAGGCTCCCACCCCACCCCACCCACAGAGCCCCCACCCCACAGGCTCTCCCAGCCAGGCTGGACAAAGCAGTCAGCAGTGGGCAGGCCCTGAGCCCAGCCCTGATTGGACAGGAAAGGGACTCCTCACTGTGTGGGAACTTGACATTTCTCCACCTGATGCCAGTTTGGCTTCTTGGTTTTGTTATGTCATTATCTGAGTGGCAGGTTAGGAGGCTTTGAAGACAGGAAACACCTATTCATAGGTGATATGTTCCTGAACAGAGCGACTTGGAAGCTGGGTAATCTCCCTGATTCTGCTACATGAGTGACTGACTGACGGTGGGAACGACAGGTGACTGACATGTTTATACACTTCTCCCGGCGCTCAGGGAGCCAAGCTCGTATCTGGTACCGTCTGGCGCTGATGTCTCTGCCCTTTGTCTTGGAGCCGGCTGTTCCTAGGCCTCATTACCTGAGGGCACTAGAGTCCAGAGCCTGGCAGGGCTCCCTCCCTGCAGCCCTGCGCCCTGTCCATGAGGGTGGTGACCTTCCATGCATGGCCTGCTGTCATTCGGCCTCAGTGGGCAGCCTCTTCAAGGATGTCACCCTTGGAGAGAGAGCAGCCCTTCCCAGTTGCTACACTTTCATCAGCCCAACGGGGCTGCTGTGGTTTCCAGAGAATAGCCCATTGGCTAAGAAAGCCTATGAGGCAGGAAAGACGGATCTAGGAGCTGGCTGGGTTCACCAGGCGATGACCACTACTCTCCAGCAGTATGTGGGCTTCCCTGTGGGTGCCCAGCATGTCTATCCAGTGGTGTGTCGGCCTCATTGTGGATGCCCGTGGCCTTGCACGCAGTGTGTTTAATAAAGTTTGCTGGGTGAAGGGACTTTTAGGAGAATGCTTGCCATCAAAGGGAGTGGAGCTTCCAGCACTGAAGCTAAAGTGAAGCCAGTCTTGTGCGTCTGGGAGCATCTGAGAATGGCCTCAGGTGTGGTCTGTGTAAGGTGAGCAGCGTGTACAGGGGCAGAAATGCCTTTTCTCTGTTAGAAGAGAATTCTTAAGGCACCTTGACAACTGGAAAAGCTGGCTTTGCTGTGACAGCAGTTTTGTCTGTGGTTGCTGAATTCCACATGAGCCCAAATCCTGTAGAGCTGAGTTGGATGCATTTTCCTTTCATCTGACCTTCCCAATATTGAATATGAAAACTGGGTCTCGTTTATTTGTGTGGTCTAATTATGAGCATGGCCAGTAGTCTTTAAAAATGGGCTGCTTACCAGTTGGCTTTGGCTCTGAACTCCAGTCTGGCTTTTAGAAAATGTGTTGCTCTAATTTGGAGTTGCATTTGTTCTCATGTAATTGATAAATGAGGGCTCCTAAGGTCCAAAGGCCACTAGGAGACAAAGAGCTGACTTGTTCGTCCAGTTTGCTGCCGATTCTCTGCCAGTGTTTCCTCCAGCATGTTTGCCTGCCACTGCCCCTTCTGCTGCTGGCTCTGCCGTATGGCCCGGCCAGTGAGAAGCAGAGCTGCATGTCAGTGACGGGGGGCCAGACAGTGACCTCGGCCCAAGGAGGCTGGCCGCACAAGCTCCTGTATCACTGCTGAGCGGAGACCCTCGCAGTCCTGTGACACCTCTGCATCACAGGGAGGCTTCTGATGCAATCCACGTGCCACTGTCCTGGCGACATCCCTCCTAGGCACCCTCAGTCCTCAGGCCAAACTCGGGATGTGAGGTGAGCTCCAGGGAGCTGGGCTGTCATGGAAGCTCTGAATGTCCTAACTCCTCTGGAGGGCCTGGCAGGCTCTGCTTGGATCCCTCATTTCCCAAGGAAGCTGAGAGGATGACAGAGGAAGCCCTGGACATCTGCTATGAGCAGGCTGCTTTGTGTCCCCTCTGCCTGGCTTCTCCAGGAAGAGCTGCCGCTGGGCTTTTGCCATCTACCAGCTCCTTTCTCTTCCCCTTCGATGACCCAGAGCTGCCACCCATCCACCTGCCAGGCCTGGGGGGAATGGGGGAAGGGGTGTGCCCTCAGAGGCTCCATAAGAGTGAAGCTGCAGAAAGAAGGAAGAGACTCCACAGAGCCCATCACCTGGAAAGGTGCCCAGGACATTCACTGGAACCGGTGAGACTAAACATTCAGCCCAAAAGCAGCATGTGACAGAGGATGGAGTGCGGCCCACAGGAGACACACTGACCACAGCCGGAAGCCCACCTGCCCCAGATACCAGAGGGGATGATCCCTACCACATCCAGGGCCCTTTACAGACACTGGTTGAATGCTTCAGACATGGCAACTTCGGACAGGTCACCTAAACATACACGTGATCTGTAGCTGGACCCGATTTGGACCAGGAAAGGCCATAAGTGACATTACCAGACAACTGAGGGAACTTGAATATTTGTGTGGTCTACAGCACAGCTGACAGTCACTAAGTCTATCAGTGAGACTCCCAAGTGGGTGATTCCCAGGGTTCTGTGGAGAAGGGCAGAGGAGGGCTGACACATTTGCTGGATTGCGTCTTGTGGCCACTGGTAGCCCTCAAGTAGGTCAGCAGAGGAGAGGTTGACCTCTGCCTCATCCCTGTGTCCTTCCATCTATAGGAGAAGGGCATATGGGATTTCTTAACGATTTTTGAAAGTTTTCTCTAGTTTTGAAATTTGGAAGAAAATGTTGGAAGAAAGTCAGGATTGGAGTATCCTGTCCTCTGAATACATGTTCCCATGGCCACTCTCCTAACTCTTCAGTATTAATGCTCTGTTTTCTCAAATAGCTTCCTCAGGCAAGCACTGGGGCCCTGGCTGGGCCCTCCATTCCTCATTTACTTTTCCCTGGCCTCCCTCAGGGAGGGACCAGAGCTCTATGTCTGCAGAAACACCCCACATCAAAGGTGGGCCTCCCGAATGGCCTAGAATTGGCCCTGGGTTACCCTAGCATCCATATTACCTCCCTTTGGGGTCATCTTCGGGTCACCCCGAGGTGGCCACAGCCTCCTGCTTCCCCCACACCTGCTCCTACTTGGTGCTTCCCACAGCCATTTTCATTGAGCTCGTGGAAGGGCACCTCGGAGCAGGTGGCCTATGTGCCTCCTCGTAACATCCCAGAGCTGACTCTGAGCCTGCAGGTAGTCGGGACCCTCTAGTCCTCCTCCCCAGGGCAGCGGACGGGCGGACTCCTCTTCCTCTCCTGGCCTCTGGCCTATTCTCTGTGTTTCCCTTTGTGTGTGTGGCTTCTCTGTCCTCAGTACGAGTCTCTATGAGCCTTGCATGAGCTTCTGCATTTCAACTTCCTGACTGCTCAGTTCTTCCTGACAGCCATCTCCAGTCCTGAGCTGGCTCCTAAACCCTGACTTGGATCCCCTTTTCATGTGGCATTTGAATTTTAGCCTCTCTGAGCCGTTATACTCCCTGTCCTTCCCTCCTGGCCAGCTGCATCCTTCTAGGCAGTTGCCAGCCTCTGTCCATACCTGCACGAGGAGCCAGCCCTGCTGCAGCCTTCCACTCCTCTTTCTGGACCCAGCCCCGCTTCTGGCCTTCCACCCCAGCCTGGCTGAGGCCCAAAGTGTCACTCCCAGTGCCCCATTCTCAGTTTGACTGTTAGGACCTACCTGAGGCACAGGCAGGGGTGTGAACCCCCTTTAAGAAAACACAGCCTCTCATGCCGATGGTCTGTAGGTCAAAGTTTATGACGTGGGAGCTTTTCAGGCCTGAGGGTGGAGAGCAGGAAGTGGGATGGGGCTGGGGGCTCTGGGACCTGGTCAGCTGGCAGAGAAGCCCAGGAGGAGGAGGAGCAGATGCGGGTAACCACCCCAGTGCCCTTTCAGGTCAGGACCTCAGTTATACTAGGATGGACACAGAAAAGGGATTTCTCAGACAGATGGACACAGAAAAGGGCTGAGGGTGGAAGAAGGTAGGCAATGTCCCTCTCAGAAGCTGTGACAGTGGAGAAGGGGACATTGTCCTCTTCCCTTCTCATCCAGGTGCAGAGGTGGGTCGACACCTCCGTCATTGTATCCTCTTGCTTGGCACAAACACAGTTTCATAAACCAATTGCAGGTCTGCTTCCTTCCCTGCCTGGAGCCTTGATGTTACTTCTCAGCACCGCGGACAGCGCCCATGTTCTGCATAGGTGACCAGCCTGGTGCTAGCCTGGTGCCTGTTGGCCTTACCTCACCGCCCCCCCCCCCCCCCCCCCCCCCCGAGTCCTCTATCCCTTTGTTTCTGAGATGAAGACTTTCTGATGCACCATTCCTTCCTGATGACCTCAGTCACTTTGGGTCACTCTGACTTCACCCTTCACCTCTGTAGATTATCCCCAAACCCAGCGAGCCAGCCCGGCAGCCTGAGAGCCACCCCGAGGAGACAGAGGAGGAGCTCCGTGAGCACCAGGCCCTCCTGGAGGAGCCCTACCTAGACCGGCTCTCTGGGCAGAAGGAGGCCCAGGAGCTGACTGGAGTGCAGGTGAAACAGGAGCCCTTGGAGAGTGACGACGAAGAGGCAGAGCCACCTCGGGAAGTGGACCCTAGCCAGCGCCAGCCCACGGAGCAAGAGCTGCTCTTCAGACAGGTGACCATGAGGGCGGGGCGGGCAGGGTGAGAGAAGGTGGACAAGGAAGGGGAAAGTGGGCTGGAGCTGGGTGGTGCAGGAGGCAAGGGACAGTGGCCCACATTTCCAGTGGGCAGTGGAAACTGAAGGGCCTCTTCTTCCACTCCCGCCAGGCCAGGTCTTCACCCATCACTCTCTAGTGGTGTGGGAGGTGGCTGAGGTTCTATGTCTGTTTATCTTTGCTGTATCTAGACATACTGGCCATTTGTCCACTGTGGGCATTTATGCACCTACTTTCCAGCCAGCGTTGGCCCAGACTCCCAAGGGATGGTTTTCTTTCAGGTATATAAGCTGTGATAAACATAAAGCCAAGTATTAGGTGGATTCAGCATAATCACTAAAGGTCCGGGGAGGGAGATTAATTTTTAGTTGATCAAAAAGGTAGGCAGAGCCTTTGGGGCCTGAGGAGACAGCAGTAGCCAGCCTTGCAGACCCAGAAAAGTAGTGCCAGCCAGGTGCCCAGAGCCAGTAAGGGTTCTGGGCACTGGCATACAATAACCAAACTCACAAGAGACTGGTGAATATATCTGATGAATGATTTATTAATTTACAGTAAAAATAAAACTGCCAAGTCAACAAAACACTAGGTCAGCCAGGCAGGCAGCAAGTCAGAACCTCGTGCTAAGAGGTGTAAGTGCCACCAAGAAGGTTGCTTACTCCTAATGAACTGCACGTGAGAGCCAAAGGGCGCTCTCAAAGTGGAGTAGGATCTTGTCCTCCAGCAACAGAGCTCTGTCCAGGGTGCAGTCCCTGGCTTGTCCCCTCCCCTCTCTCCACTAGATATCCTAGCCATCCAGTTGTGCACCACTGATCTCCGACAGCCCAGGCATGTGGCCCTCTGCAGCTCCCCCACCTCCCCCAGCAGCACCAAGAAAGACGCCACCTGTGACACACAGGACCTTAGATTTCTCTGGAGGCCTCTGGGCAGCAGGCCACACCCTTCACCCCTTCTGGGTTTCATGGGGGGCCCTGCAGCTGGCTGCTTGTATAGTGTTTTTTCTGTTTCTCATTCAGAGGGGGACCATCTCGCATTTCTCAGGCCACGTTCTTACCACCCAGGCACTAAGCCACTGCTCTGCAAAGTGCAGTGGAAATGGCACTTAATGAAAATAGAGAGGTTCCAACCAAAGGAACCTTGTCTTCTGCTGTGCAGCTCCAGCAGTAGGAGTGCTGGGCTGGGTGTCCTGGCCAACAGGACCCCATGGGGCTTCATTCCCTCGTCTGTGTAGGTCTCGGAGTTATGAAGGAAGCAGATTTCTTCTTATAACTGGAATTCATTGTGTTATTAGTACCGGATATGAGATTGGAAAGTACTTATGCAAATTTTTAGGGTAAATATCTTGTAGATGATAAAGCCATCAGCATTTATTTAGGAAAAATAGCCTTGTTGTACTCAAAGCCTGAGGCAGTCATTAAAAACACTAATTTTCTATGTTCTTTGGAGAATAATTAGCAGAGGTCCTCATCAGGGAAACTCAGTGGTACAAGTAGCAATTTGCAGATGTAAACATGAGACACCGTATCTGAGTTTTTGGAAAACCTGTACTGGGAAGAGGGCTGGTTGGTTGTAGGTGGCCGTGAAGCTGGGTGTGAATCCTTCAGGATCCAGGGAAGCCTCCTGCTCAGGTCCTCCCAGCATCTCAGGGCTCTTCCCTGCCCCCCAGCCTGCGGTGTGCCTGCCCCTCCCCCAGGGGCTAGGAAAACAGACCTTCCAGAATGACAAGATTTATACATGAAAACTAAGGCACGATTTGCGGAGGATTTGGCAGGCTCTGCTTTCTCTGGCACCTCAGCCTATAAAGTAGGATGTGGACCCATTCCTTCCTTTGCTGTCCCAGGGTGGCCTGGATATCAGCAGCTCCTCGGGCAGGGCGGGGCTGGCCGCAAGGTCATCCCTGCCCTTCGCTCCCTGTGGCTCTACTCTGCCTCCCACAGGACACACACCTCAGCCTGTCCACAGCGTCCCATCAGGGTCTGTCTCCCTCAGGCCCTGGCTGAGTGGCCCATGCTCCACAGACCTAGCACTTCACCTGCACTGCAGCCCTGGGTTGGAGCCCCTCTGTCCCAGCAGCCTCCACAGCCCCTTCCAGAGTCCTCCTTTATATCTCCACTGGCCAGCAGTAAAGACGGGGAGAGAGGTCAGAGACCTGCTGGCTTTTAGGCTTTAGATCCTGGTCGCATTTGTGTTCTTACAGAAGCCATTCTTCACACAGAAACAGCATTTTTTTGGGGGGGAGGGACTTTTCATGGATGTATGTGTTTAATTCACCCCTTTCTACTCTGTTTTTTTGTTTGTTTTTTGTTTTTTCCTGAAAGATGGCTATCAGTCCTGGGATTATTCATGTAGGTCCCTACCTCCCCAGAGGCACAGCCACACCCTCCCGGCCCTGTCACCTCAGCTGCTTGTGCCCTGGGTGTCAGGAACCTGATGGCTCACATCTTCCTTGCTTCAGCAGTCATTCCTGTCATCAAGTGAGGGCATGAGACAGTGAGGGGCCAGGACAGGGAGACGGTGGCAAATGAAGTAGAATTAGCATTTCTCTTCTGCAGTGGGCTTTTCTGCCCAGGTTTCTGGCATGCAGAGCAAGTGCTCTTGGTCAAGACCAAGACAACAGAGTCGACCAGGAGGGCTGCTTGCAGGCTGCTGGGGCATCTGGTGGCCATCCTCAGTGTCCATCCAGGTGCCACCGTGCATGGCACGATGGTGAGTGGGTGGAGGGGAGGCGGGCAGAGGGATGAATGATACATGAGAAAAGTACATGCAGAGCCCTTAGGGGTGTAAGGTTTCTTTGAAGCAACAAAACATGTTTCCCCGTAGCAAGCGCTCCTGCTGGAACAGCAGCGGATCCACCAGCTGAGGAACTACCAGGCCTCCATGGAGGCCGCTGGCATCCCTGTGTCCTTCGGTGGCCACCGGCCTCTGTCCCGGGCACAGTCCTCCCCAGCGTCTGCCACCTTCCCCATGTCTGTGCAGGAGCCCCCCAGCAAACCGAGGTTCACCACAGGTAACATGAGCAGGGAGAGCTGGGGTGGGGGTGGTGTTGGGCCTTGGACTGCCTGGCAGGGCAGCCAGGATTTGACAGACGTCTGTCTGGGAGGTGTGCTTCGGGGTGAGGTGTCAGGCCAGGTGTGGTATCAGGGACAGGCCACTTCTAGGGCTGGGCAGCCTCACACTTGGCCCAACCTCCTTCCCTGGGTGGGGGGTGTCAGATGGATGGCTCACTGAGGCTCCCTTCCTCTGCCCTCCATCTATGATCCTGGGGACTTTCTCCTGGGCATAGAAGCCCACCCTCCCTTCCCAGAGAGTCACTGTCCTCCAGAGAAAGGTCCATCCCAGGCCAACGTGAGTGTGCCTGTGCAGGCTGGATGCCTCCCTGTCATTAGCTGGGGCAGAGAACCTGCCCTTTCTCCTCTGTCCCTTCCTTGAGCTGAGCCTATATCTAGGGCCTTGGACTCTGCATTGCTGTCCTCCTTGTTGCCAGTGGTCACGATTCCTACTGTGCTGTTCTGTGTTGCCCCACCTCACCATGCCCGAGCCCGGGGACATGTCTGCTGGCGGGAATCTTGTTTCTGCCTGAAAGGCTTCACACACAAGTCAGGAATGAGAACTGGGTGGTTGAGCCAGGCACCTACTGGGGTCTGAGGCACTGGGCTCTTGAGTGTGCCACTGCCCAGCCACATCCGGCCTGAGGCGGAAGGAAGCCAGGGTTGCTTTTAACACTATTTTCACCTAGTGTTTCTTTTCAATGATATATTAACAACAACAAAATGTCAAAATTCAGAATGGTTTCATCCTTCAAACAGCCCTTATAAAATGTCTTAATTTTTTTCACAGTTATGTCTAAGTGTGGTTAAGTTCTCTTTGTCAGCTCTTAGAAGGATATTGTCCATATTCAGCGAAAAGCTTAAGTAGTGATTATCCAGAAATTAAATTGTTGCTTCTCAGAAAGGAGACCAGAGACTGCACAGGTTCATGTGGGCAGCTGGTGGCCCTTCCTGGCAGGGAGCATATCTTGGCCACTGGCCAAGGTGAGCCCGGAGCACAGCTCACAGCAGAGACCATGCCTTGTATTTCCTCTGAATCTGGGAGCCTTGGACAGTCCAGTCCACTAGGACCGCTTAAAAGAGAGGTTGGTCCCTGGCAGGTAGACTTGGCTATTTAGACCAAAATCTCATTTCTGGAAGTCACCATGGTCCTCTGCAACATGAATGCCACACAGCATTAATGCTGGAGATTGGAGTCCTAGGGTGGGCCTCCTTTTTGTGTCTTTTTCCTTTGCCTGCTCCCACTGGGCAGGGCACCACACCCCAGAGGTGTCAGCTCGATTCTGGGCAGTTGTGCGCCAAAGCCATTGCCCAGTTCACCCTCTCGACCACACCTTGGTTTTCGTTTCTATGAACTGCAGTTGAGGGGTTCTGATGAACTTTGATTTTTCTAATGAATCGTCCCTGCAGGATGGGACATGATGTGAGCCTCTGTCCACTTCTATGGAAGTGGTGGTTTGCCGCAAGATGGTAGCTTTCTGGGCGGGTGTGGGCAGCCTGCTGCCAAGCACCCCTGCTGCTCTGAGGGTCTCACCACTGCCTCCCTGCAGGCCTGGTGTACGACACACTGATGCTGAAGCACCAGTGCACCTGCGGGAACAGCAACAGCCACCCTGAGCACGCCGGCAGGATCCAGAGCATCTGGTCGCGGCTGCAGGAGACTGGCCTCCGAGGCAAATGCGAGGTAAGGCTGCCCGGAGCAGCAGGGAGGGTGGCCCACATAGCCTGCAGGAATCTGGTGTGGAGTGTGGGACCCTGCGGGGGCGGGGGCCTGTGAGCATTTCCATGATAAGGACTGGCAGCTTGGGATATTCAGGCCTGCCTTCTGGAAGATGCCCAGGGCTGTTTTCCTAAAAGCCCAAGGCCTCCTGACAGGAAGGCTCACCTCTGTCCTGCATGCCCTGGTCCACCTGCACTCAGTCCCCCTGCATCCCTCTATCCCCCTGCACCCCTCTTGTCTCTCTGCACCCCCTGATCCCTCTGTACCCCTCTGTCCTGTACCCTCATCACACGCTGCTCCACTCTCTCCTGGCACACTGTTGCTGAAGCCCCTTATTTTCCGTCTGGTCATTCCCCTGGAGGAACCATTCTGAGGCTATTCTCCCATCAACCCCCAGGATGCATGCAGGCTGCCCTCCAGCAGGAGCTAGAGAAACAGGGAAACGAGCCCTGTTGCTTTCCCGTCAGTGTCCTCTCACTTAACATTCCTGAAGCTTCTCCCAGTATGTGGAAAGTGTCAGGTCTGAGGTACTCCTCAGAATCCAAGTTCCCACGGGGCTGTGAATGGTGTGGGAATTTGAGTCACAGCCTGGTCCTGTCTGGTCTGCTTGGAATTTGATTCACGATCATAGCGCCCCCACCCTCTCTGAGTGGAGTGAGAGGGTTCCAGCTGGTCCTCGGTTTCCCCACTGCCTGGGATAGTGAAGGCCAGTCTCACTCTCAGACAAGGAGGACCCCCACCTCCTGGCCCATCAGGGCCTGGGATTCCAGTCTCTGCCCACACATGGCTGCAGTGGTCCCCGGCCTGTGAGGACAGGAAGGCTCTGCTGAATAACATGAAGGACGGTCTTTCATCCTGCTGATGAGGAAAATGTTTTCATGGAGCGACCCAACTCATGCTCTTTGCCCTGTAGTGCAGCCATCATGAAGGAGTGTAGCTCTCAGGAAGACCTTGCAATTAGTGGGTGGATGAAGAGGGGCCCAAGCTCGGGGACACCTCACAGTCCTGTCTATGGAGTGGGGCTGGCAGCACCCAACTCCCAGGATACTCCAGGACAATGGCCCCGGTCCCCAAGTACTCATTAAGTGGGACACCTGCTGTGTCTCTCACACATTGGGAATCCCACAACACCAGGGATGGGACATGCTGCACTGCAGAGTGACTCTGGGAAGCTAGGGCCCTGCAGTTGATGACAGACTGTCCATATCTGTGCATCACAGCCCAAGCCACCTGGGCCTCAGCTGGGGCAGGCGTGTCACAGAAAGCCAGCACATCCAGAACCCTGCTGAGCCCCCCTCAAGTCCCTTCACTTCCCCACTCAAGTCCCCCCACTTCATTCGAGTCCCCCTTCCCTTCTCGAGTCCCCCGTCCCCCACTCAAATTCCCTCACTTCCCCACACAAGTCCCCTCAC